GATGGTTGGAATGTGTTTAGAATGGGCAGAAATGATGAGCTGCGCAGAAAAAGCTACTCAAGGAAGGGTTTTACAAAATCGCTCTCTTTTCAATGGAACTTTAGCCCTGTATTAGGGTTAGGGGTATGCGCTAGGGTAGGGTTAGGGTTAGGAAAAGGAGGTGTCCTGGCATGGTATCGATGGTTGGAATGTACTTAGAATGGGCAGAAATGATGAGCTGCGCAGAAAAAGCTACTCAAGGAAGGTTTTTTCAAATTCCTCTCCTTTCAATGGAACTTTTGCCCTATTTTAGAGTTAGGGGTGCGCTTCATCAGAGATTTATAAGAAACCTAACTCGGGCTTTTCAAGTTAGTTTCCAGCTTTAGTGCACTAACCTGATCAAAAACGTCAACACTGACGTAACACTGGACTATGGAATCTCTCTCCCTTGCCGCTTTGAAAGCAATTTCTCTGTTTGAAGGTTTCAGCACAATTGTACCACTCTTTGATTAAAGTCTGAGGACCACCAAGGGGCTGGATAGAATTGTTTTGCGGGCTACTCCTAGCCTGAGCCTGCCAAGTAACACCTCTGATCTAGACAAATTAATGCTCCCGCATTTCTTCCAGGTAGCTCAAATCCTGTGTTTGTATCTTTTGCCATTTCTGATGTTGTCTTTTGGTTGAAATATCCTCGTATTAATTGTGCAGTTTGCTAGCAGGCCAATAGAAATAAAGGATGATGGATCAGCCTGTCTCCCTTTCACACGTGCAGCACCACCCCGTTTGCGCCTTCGTTTCCCTTAACGCACTGTGAACAGCACTCTGGCAGTCCAGGAGAAATATGTGCCGCCGCAAGAGAAGACGGTGGAGCAGGAAGCCATGGACATGTAATCTGCCTGCTGGAGACTGGGGAGAGATCTTGCTTGGCCCACGATGCCTTCCCATCCATGGCATGAAGGTGCCCCTCGGTCACCGGGCCCAAAGAAGAGCCTTCTGCCAAACAGAGGATGCCACAGTGTAGCTTGTGTTCTTAGGTTCCTTCCAGACAAACGCCACCTTTCTGGTGTGATCAGGAATTTCCACAGCTGAGAAGAGGAAAATGGTGGTCCTCTGTGTGGTTTGTGTGTCACCAAGAAGCGTTGGGTGGTGTGATGTCATTTGTGAGGTCCAGAAGTTGGCCACAAAGTCAAGATCTAATCAAGATTAGATCTAATCTAATCTAAGGGGAAGGGGATGGCTCTTGCCATGACGGGCATCTCCAGCTGCCAGGGAGACGCCATTGCCTTTTGTGTCATGGAGAAGCACCCAAGTTTCTCTCCCCATCTTCCACAACCGGGTGCCCACCAGATGTCTTGGACTACAGCCCACACTGTCCCCAGCCACGTCTAAGCAGGCCAGGTTGCAGAAGGCTCTTTTATCCTGCTACCTATTGCTTAGATGTAATTAGTTGTGGAGTTGTGCTCTATTGTGAGAGCGAGGGAATAAAAACTCTCTACACTCTTCTCCAGTCCTGTGAGTATTTGTTGGGTAGTGCAGTGTCCGAATGGGCAGTCCTTTGGTATTTGGGCAGCTAGGGTGGTTCTGCGCCTCCTCCCCAAGCACGGCTTTTGGGGAGAGATGCTGAGGGGAAGAACCCTGCTGGCCTGGCGCAGCATCCTGTTCCCAAGTAGTCAATCAAGTGCCCCACAGGGAAGCTTGCAAGCAAGCAATGAGGACCACGGCTGTTTCCCCTGTTGCCTGATTGTGGAGGTAGCATATTGCCACCATGAAGTATTACCCTATTTGGGCACGGAGGTGCACACCATGGAATGCTTAGAAACAGTTGTGAGCAGATTCCAGGCGGAACTGGAATTTGAAGCAGCCATGGACAGGGTTGCTCGGGCAGATCACACTCAAGCGGCAAGAGAAAAGCGGCACCTTACCAAATTGTAATATTTGGGGTGAGAGAGACTCACCTCAGCAAAAGTTGTGTGCTCAGTTGGGAAGAAAGCAAGGGTATTCTGTGGATATTATCGCATGAGGCTTGGCCTGTGGAATATGAAGAGCTCGATAAATGCAATAGTAGAATAGGAAATAGTGAGCCTTTATGGTGTGAACCAGCTGCCTGTTGACTTTTCTGCCAGCTGACATTGCCAGGTGGGGCATGGGGCATATTTTGGGCTGCAGGCGCTCCAGATGACTCTGGAAAGGGGAGAGCAGGTGGGAAGGAGCAGCAGATTTTCCGGGTGTTGCCACCACACTCAGCTGAGGCATCCACAATGTGTTGTGTGTGTTGCTGCTGGTGCCACAAGGGGGTGCCGTCGGCCCAGGGGCTGAGCCTTTGCAGGGTGTGTCCTCCAGCACAGAACTGGGCTGCAGACGAAGATGGCCTTCGGCCTGTTGTCAAGCTCTGTGTCATGAGCTCGCATGAGCAGTAATCCACGCGCACCAGCGAGCGGGCGGGACTGACTGTGTGTGGCCAGAGGTGGCCCTCGCCAACCTGGCACTCGCCAGATGTGCAGGACTGCAGCCCCCCTCACCCTGCCCTGTGTGCCCTCACCAGCTGTGGGTGGCAGGAACTGTAATCCTGCGCACTTGGAGGTGGTCTGATTCTGGAAGGCTGCCTTAAATTTCTCCAGTTGGCAAAGGGAGTGAATTAAGGTATGAGTCACTTGGCAGCCTGACCTTATTTTTCCCTTGCGTGGAAGGTCAGCCCCTCAGTGTGAGTCTACCCAGATGCTTTGCTGGGTTTCCCCTAAAACACTGGGCACTGCTGGGTTTTCTTTTGCGTCTATAATTGCGTTTGTCGCCGAAACATGTCAGTTTCTGGCCTCACAGCCATTGGGTGGTACTGTGGACTCTGAATTCAACATATGTTAAATTTTAGGGGCCTTTCAGAGCTTGCTGTGAGCACTTGCCGAATGTCTGCTGACTTCTTGGCACAGCTACAGGGCGTGGGGAGCTCTACCCAATAGCTTCCCCCTCAGGGAAAGTTTCTGGGAATTTTGGCTGCCTCTTTGTTCCAGGTAAGACTGGATGCAGGTGTTTGGGTGAGCAGAGCAAGCTGTCTCATCAGCACTGGGGCCGGCAGGGCAGCTGCCGTCAAGGTGGGTGTTGGGAGTTTGCTACGGTTCTTTCAGGACATTGCAAACCGAGGGATGGGTTGAGTGGGTCGGGGAGATGGCCAAGCTCAAGAGCACAGCGCCTGGTGCCCGAGGGAGCCGTGGTGGCGTCCTGGCCAGGGAGGGTGCCATTCCTTCCTTGGCGTATGGTGGGGTGGCCGGTGCCCTGGGACTGGGGGGACAGAGGACAACACAAGGGTCACCGTGACCACTGTAGAAGAAGGGGAAACCAAGGCAAAGCTTCAAGACCAGGTGGGTGACCAGCCTCACATTTCTGTTCTTTTAAAGACCTCCACTGCACAGGAAAAAGACACCAAGGCAAGTAACTTGGGGATGATTAGTGCGAAGGAGGGACTGACCTCACTTTTGTTCCTGTCTTGGGTGTCTGTGTGTGCAAGTGTCTACTTTTCACACACTTTACTCTCCCCACTCTCCTCCTCTTACTCGTAAGCACATGGGGCCCAGTGCAGATTGGCACTACCCCACCTGCACAGAGCAGCAACGCCCCCGAAATAACGTTTCTCCACAGCTGAGTAGCTGCGCTTGATGCTCTGCTAGGGGATGGGGGAAGTGACTGTTGGGAGCTGGAGCTGGACTGCAGACCCAGGCTGCAACGGCACAGACACTTGCGTGGGAATAAGTCCAATGAAGGTAACAGCCCTTACTTCTGAATCAATCTGGTTAGGGCTGAGTGGTTAACTCTGCTTAGTTTGTCCCCAGGAAAGCTTTGTGTCCTGAGAGAAGAAAGAATGCTTGGGGATCTCTTGGTAGAACTTTCACAGAACTAAGCTGAGGTTTTCATTTCAGGAGTTTGAGGGAAAGCCTTAATAGACAAAGGAATTGAAAGTAAATACAAGTTTATTATACTGCTCAGAAGTCAGATGCTGTTTCTTCCAAAATCTGGTCAAGGTCTTTCTCAGCTAGATGCCACAAGTGCTCATGTGAAGAAAAATAAAGCAGCAAAGTTACTAGTCCTCATGCTTCAAGCAAAGAGTAGAAGGACTGGCTGGAAGTAACTTTTTCCTAATTGATTCCTCTTAGTGCCCAAAGAACGTGCTGCTATGGCCCCAAGACATCACCATATCCAAACTTCCCTCAGCAACCAGCGCTTCAAGGGCACAGGAAAGCACCCTTTCCTCTTGGCATGTCTACATGCAAGCTTGGTGTTATCGTGCGGGAGCCAAAGGGCCCTAGTGGCCCAGCAGGGCCCAGCGCCAACACACATCCTGCTCCTGCTTTGCAGCCTTTGAGTGGCTTCTAGTCAACCTTTGAATTTCCCATAGTGGCCCATCCCAATGCTATGTCAAGGCATCGTGGGGACATTACGAGGATTTGAGAGGGTGGGGGCGGGGGGGCACCACTGGAGCATTTCTCCCTCAAACTTGGAGCCAGCCTCACAACAGTAATTTCAAGAGGAGAGCTCTGCTTTCAGACAGTGGAAAGGCCTGAAGGGTTTGATTTTCCATGTCAGCAGGGAAGGGCTGAGCCCTGACACCCCCCCATCCAATCCTCAGCTGCAAGAGGCAGCTCCTGTGTTTGGGGCTGCATCTGCTTGAAAGAAATACAAGAAATATAAGTCTGGGCTTTCTCTTCTCCCCCTGTTCCACCATCCCCAGCTCTTGATCTTTATGTGCAAGTGAGAGAAAGAAAAAAAAATGTTTGGGCATCTGAACTGAGAATACACAACATGTGGCAAAGCCATCTAACCTCTCATGCACTTTCTGCTTTGAGATTAACGAGAATGCTGTTTTCATTTTGAGCGAGATTTACCAAACTGCAAGGTTCTCCCTATCCGGAAGTTTAAAAACTTGAAATTTTTAAACAAATTAAAGCAGAAGAAAATGAAACAAGCAGATTTCCCCTCTTCCTACTTGTAGTTTCTGGAATCACGTAGAACAGTCTCAAAACTATTCCAGGCGGTGGGAGGAGGCAACATCGGTATGGCGATGCTTCATGCGATTGTGAGGCGGGCCGGGCGGTTCTGCCTGCCCTGCCAGGGCTTTCCAGCACCTGGAGTCTGTCAGCCCCCCCCCCGCCATTCTTCCCCGTCAAGGTTCCCAAAGGCGTTGACATCAGATGCCACGGCAGACGCTGCTTCCATGTATGAGGTCTATGCATTCTTCCAGAGGTGGAGCGCTTGCTTCAGATGGACTGATTGGATTTCCTCACTGCGGAGTGCCTTTCATCTCCGGCTGCTGGCAGCTGGGCCAGTGGGAAGACGTCTCACACCTCCACCTCCACCAGCCTTAGCAACTTCACAGCGCTTTTGCCGGCGAGGTGGGGCAGGGCTGGGCCCCAGCCAGCTGGAGGCACCCAGCCGCCTTCTCTTCTTGTTCTGCTGAGCTCCACAAGTTGTCTGCTGGGCTCAAGAGCAGCTGGTGTGGTGGTGTGCAGGCAAGTAGCTAGCTAAGCAATGTGTGGGTCAGGCCTCAGTTTTTTGGGCTAAAAAATGGGTGCAGTGCTAGGCTACCTATTCCTTAAGGCAGCAGTTTGCAGAGTCACCTTAAGGGAACTGGTTGTGCTTACAGGGTTCTGAAATGCAGAAAAAGCACATGCTTTGCACCGCCTCTTTTACAGAGAAGAGTCCTCCGTTTGAAGGACGGTCCTCTATGTGAAAGGGTGTCCTGCCCAGTTCTAGCTTAAAGCTAATGAAATGTTTCCCAGCAGCCCTTAGCACTTGAAGAGCAAACTGAACCTGCAAGCCAGCTGGTCACAGCCTTCCTCAGGATGGTGAGATGGCCCATATTTCTATTTTAATTCTAATAAGTTTTTTCAAATGTGCTCTGATAAGAACACATCCACATTTCATGCAAATTTGTCCCATATCTTGTTCTCTCATTTGGTGATGCATTTCCTTTCCTGCTTTTACTTTTTTTGGCAGTTCAAGTGGTCAACTTAGTCCTGCTTCATTCACTGAATTTTAGTAGGGGAATGTGCACTTGTAGCCTTCATGTGACTTTGCTCCTCTGTCTTTTTCCTTTCATCAACCTTCCCGCTTCCCCACCCAAAAAGAAATCAGTAAGAAGGAAGTAGTAGTAGTGTATTTTAAGAGCCGCCTCTTTGAATGCACCGCAAGATATGAAATATTTGATTAATGGGACTGCAATTAGCTTATATGACCCAGAGCATACGTTGGCACCAGGTCCCCCCTTTTCCCTGGGTCTGCCCTTCAAGAGTTTCCTCCCAGCTGGCAAAGAGGCTGCCATGACTTCAAACAAGCATGGCCTTTATGATACAGGCACCACAGCAATACCGCCACCTGCTGGCAACTAACGCTATACCACCACCGTGTGCTTCAATGCACTTTATTCCGTTAATGGCATCACACAGAAGAAGCGTAGATAATAAAAGGGATTTATGGAGTGCTCCACAGAATGTGAAGGAAAAAAGAATGCTCAACA